TCAGAGACTCATGGACATGGTTTATAGACTAGTGGTTACCAGAGGTTAGGGGGTTGGGTGAGGGGGGAGGTAGACTAAGTAAAGGGGGTCAAATATGTGGTGACAGAAAGAAATCCAACTATGGGAGGTGAACACACAGTGTAAACATATACCTTACTGTTAAAGTGTACAGCTGAAACTTACTGGATTTTGTTAATCAATGTCACCATTAAAATAAATAAATAAATAATTTTTTAAAAGGAAGATGTGGTGCATGTATGCAATGGAATATTACTCAGCCATAAGAAGAGATGAAATATTGCCATTTGCAACAACATAATGGATCTTGAGATAATCATGCTAAGTGAAATAAGCCAGACAGAAAAAGTTGAAAACCATATGATTTCACTCATATGTGGGATATAAAACTGAAAGCAACAAACACAACAAACAGACTCATGGACATGACAGTGAATTAGTGGTTACCAGAGGGAAGGAAAGAGGGAAGAAGTAGATAGGGGTAACAGGGAACAAATATTTGGTGACAGTAAGAAATTTACCTTGTGTGGTGAATATAATGCAATACATATATAATACATATATAAGTGCATATGTATATATGTGACATTGAATCATTCACCTGAAATTCATTTGATTTTATTGTCACCCGAATAATTTTTAACAAAAAATATGAATAAATAAAAATTATAAAACATGGTATCTATGAAGTGCAATAAAGCAAAGTGCAATAAAACAAAGTATGCCCCTACTATTTTTAGTTTGCTATATCACCAAGGGATTATTATTACTTAATACATTTGCATCTAAAATAAACATTTTGAGTTTAATGTTCTTGAAATCTGTAGTTAGAATGCATATATAATGCATTTGTGTTTTTTAAACCATGATTTTCTATTTGAGCTTTTTAATACACCCATTTAATTGATAACCGGATTATGGAAAATAGTGCCACAATTATCCTAGTTATAAGCCATCTTTTGCATCATTGTTATAATTTCAAATATATTTTTATGTTGTTAGTTTTGTGCTTTTCAATAGGTGTTCTGATTTTAGTCCCTGAAATATTAGATTTGGTGACATTTAAATGTTTTATATCTTTGACATCAGAGTCCCCAGCAATTTTGCCATCATTTTGAGGGTAGGTGGGTGATAGAGGCTAGACCAGGAGCAGGGTCAGCCATAGACCAAGCAGTAATGTTCAAGTTAAATGGAGGAGTCTTCAGAGCATTCGTGTTTACTTTCAATCTTTCAGTATAACAAATATGGCATATGGCAAATGATGAGTGTGGGGGCTGAAAAACCCTGTAGTTACATGAAAGGGGCAAAATAAAAAATAAACTGAAAACAGGAGAAAAGAATAGTTTTCACTGTGCCAAACACTAAACCTCTGTTTACTTCTTGACTCCAATGTCAGAGCTTTGAGTTAAAATCAGCTTTTACATCAGAATAGAAAGAAATGGAAAAAGAAACTAAGGTAAAAACAGAAGGTACCTCTGATCTCTTCCTTTACAGTGAACACTGAGCCACCTTACCCCCTCAGCCTCATAGTGCTGTCTTCCACACAATCTTTTCACATTCATTTCTCATTTGAATCTTACCACTGCTCTCTGAAGTCAATTAAGTACACTCTGCAGATCCAACATCACCTATTGCCTTCCCCATTTCATTTGGAGTAAGTTAGGCATTTGTAGAGGTTAGCAGTCAGCTGGCATATAGCAGTGACTGAGGCAGGACCAGCACCAAGTTTTGGGACTCCAGATCCTATGGGCTTTTCATCACTGCCACTTGCAAGCACACAGAGTGTTACTTTTAAAACAACAGCAAAAATAGACAAACAAATCAAACCTCCTTTGACCTGCTATTCCTTTCCTACTGCCAGATTCTTCTAATCTGATCATGTCTAAACCAGGCATCGAGGAGCTGGAGAAGCCAGGGCTCAAACCTACCCCTTGTGATAGCTATGTGATCTTGAACACATCTCTCAGCCTGTTTCCTCATCTGTAAAATACTTATAAATGGTTATTGAGACAGTATGTAACAATGACTGCATTAAGTAATTAGCACAGTGAGAGACATGATAAATTTTAATTTATTATTACATAACCGTCTCCTGCATACTGACCTCAAACCTGACTTCTCCGCAGAATTTAATCTTGCCCAGAATGCTAATGGTCTTTTCTGGCTGAATCACAACAGCCTTTTCTGCACTTTCTCCAACTACTTGAGTCTTAATTCTCTCTATTCCCTTCACTTTCTTAATATTGTGTTATTGATTCTTCCTTTCGTGGGAGCTTCTCTTTTGTCTGGTTAACTGACTTGTTTTCCTCATTCTACCTTTTACATAAGTCTTCTACAGTTCCCTCTGCAGCCATTGATCTTGTTGACAAGACTAAGTTAATTAATAAATCAGAGAGGAGATAATGTTATCTCTTTTGCTTCTTTACCTGTCTGCCTTCTACTTCCAAATATAAAAATGTCATATTGGATTTTATTCATCTGCAAACAGATAAAATTCCAGCGCTGTTAACACAAGAAGGCTTTAATTATCCTGTTCAATGTAGACATGGCAAGCAATACCTATATCCAAACTGTTTTCATGTGATGATGATGATGACGATGATGATGACAATGATGACAATGATAACATTTTTATTTTCTAAATTAGTATTATAGAGCTTACACACTTGTCTTACCTATGTTATCTGAATTTATTTTTCAAAATAGCACTGTAGGTAATGTCCTGAATCATCCAACACATTTCATAGATGATATAAAAGAATTTCTAACTTTGACACTGGGAGTAGTGTCTTCTCAATTTAAACTATACTTTTTTTTTTGCCCCCTATTCCATATAGCTTCCCTGATGTGTGTCTATAAATGCTAGATTTTAGGCTAAATAATAGATAACATACTCTTGTCCAGTTTAGGGAAAACTAAGAAAAAGAGGTAAAATTCAAAACAGCAAATTGAGTTACTTATTAGCAGATCAAGAAAGAGTTGTAAATTTTAAAACTTGATTATGAGTTTGGGGAAAGTATTTGTGCTATTTACATTTTTGTTAATAAGAGCCAACCCTATAATGTATATAGATTTAAGCTGGCAAAAATATAGAAAAGTTATATTGTCAAAGATTTTAATGGATAATATGTTAGGCCTAGCTTAAATGGGGGATTTCATCTCTTTAGTTAGAGAAGTCTTCATGTTACCATAGATCATATCCATTCATTCATCATTCACTCTAATTGTCTTTTGTTCCTACCTAATAAAGTATGTTATATGTTTGTTTTGCAGATCTAAAGCGGGAAGCCAGTATCTGTCATATGCTGAAACATCCCCACATTGTAGAATTATTGGAGACATATAGCTCAGATGGAATGCTTTACATGGTTTTTGAATTGTGAGTGTACATTTTATTTTCTTAAGGGTTAAAGTTTTAAGCAATGTTGGTTTTGGATAATGCTCATACTTTTCTTTTACAATTTAACTATAGTTGTGAACTCATCTGTTTAGAAAGACCTAAAGTAACAAAAACAAAAGGATTATCTCATCTTAAGGTTCACAACAGCTAAGAAAGCAAACATTGGTCATATTTAGTTACCTTCACATTTTTAGCATGCTTTAGATAAGAGGCTCTAAAAGAAAAAGTTCAGAAAGATAGGAGGCCCCAAAATAGAAAATTCTGACCACAGGAGTCTTAGTGAAGAGGAGTAGGATAGAAGTAGAGGCCTCCATGTAACAGGCCTCTCTAGCAACTAAAAACAAGCAATAACAGACTGAATTTCCTCTTTTGATATAATCACCATATTGACGTGTAAAAGAGATTCCATAGATAACAGTGTATCTTGATTTCAGTAAGCTACTTGACATGTTTCTCACAGAATTATTGCTGGTAAGATGGAAAAATGTGAGCTAAAGATAGGATACTGGGGTAGTTTTATAGCTGATTGGATGATTGTGCCCAAAGAGATTATATAAAAGTTTATGGAATGACATCCTATTCTGTTCAAATTTTAATTAATGATTTTGATTAGGGTCTCTCACAAGCTGGTAATCATGGAGCTAGCCAGAGCTTAAGTCATTTTAAAGCTCCTTTGAGGATGGATCTGTTTCCAAGCTCACTCAGATGGTTGTTGGCGGTAGGCTATTGGACTGAAGGCCTTGATTCCTCATGAGCTGTTGGCCTGAGGCTGCCCTAGGTTCCTTGTAACTGGGTCTCTCCATAGAGCAGCTCATAACATGGTAGGTGGCTTCATCAGAGCCAGCAAGCAAGAGGGCAAGAATATAAACAAGACAGAAATCAATCTTATAATCTCATCTCAGAAATCATACGCCATCACTTCTGCCATATTCTGTTAGTTAGAAATAAGTCACTAGATCCAGCCCACACATAAAAGGAGAGGATTACACAGGGGTGGTGATCACTGGGAGCCATGTCAGAAGCTGCCCCCTACAGAGGGTTAGCTTATATATTGAATATCTCGATAAAAATTTTAAAATATTTTACAAGTTTGCAGCAAAGGAGCTGAAACAAAGAAAATGAAATTTAAGACCAGTTAATATAAACTCATTCATTCAAATATATAAGTGCAAGATTACTGTAAACTTAGTTGTAACTGTTTATGTGAAAAAGATGTAGATCTTTTAGTTAGTTGTTGCAACAGCTTTAAAAGCCCTGAATGGAACCTTTGGCTATATTAATTAGAAGTATACAGTATTCAGAATGAAGCCACACTTCCACTGAAATGTATACTACTCATTCTCCTGGAATGTTCATAATAAGCAGGATACTGCCATGCTACCAGAAAGGGATAACCAGAGTGGGAAAGAGCCTAGAAATTCTGTCACAGAGTCACAGCCTTCAAAATCTTTGTCGGCAAACCTAAAAGAATTTTGAAAACCACGTACCTCCTCACATATTTTTAAGTTGATTATAAAAACTTTTATTATGAGGTTCTAATTTTTGGTGTTTTGCATATTCCTTTAAATATATTTTCTTTAAAGCTGTAGAGCTGCACCTTTATCTCATTCAATTTTAGAAAATGTCTGTATTGTGACCTAAATGGCAAAACTAGTCGTCATTGTCAAACCAGTCAGCCAAATCAGACTCTCCTTCTGTCAGAAACAAATCTGACTTCATTTTTCAAATAAAATTAAAGTGTTAATAGACATCCCTGTGACAATCATGTTACTACCGATTTCTAATTATAAAACAGATAAGGCTTTGCCATGAATATATTGTCTGGATGAAATAAGATGGCTCTCCCCTTTTTTTCCCAAGCTCTCTCTTTTTCTCTCAGGGTTCTCTCCCTCTCTCAGGAAATTTGCATTTTCCAGTTGTCTCTTTGAAGCTAGGCAGGCTTCTCAGGATAGGTGAGTGGTTTGTCAGTTGAGATGGGTTCCTGTGAGGGGAGATGTAAAAGGGAAATCAGCAGACCACAGACTTGTTTTCAGATAGACCAAATTACGACAAGTGAAGATATGGAAATTGATTGCCTTAAAAATATTCTAGTCCCTTTGGGGACTTTGGGTACTCCTAGAGATACTCTAGTCCCAGTTTGAAGACCAATGACATGGAAGAGCTATTGAAAAGACTGGGAGGCTTTAGTTACCCAAGAATCTATTGGTTTTCTTTTTCTGCTAAGAGTCCTCAGAGCAGAAGCCCATGGTAGAACATAATGGATGTCTTCAGTTATTTGAAAGATGAATCTTAAGAGGGTTATATGTTTATCCAGTGTATGGTCAGGGTTGTAACTAGAATCAGCAAGTGGCAGGTAGATTTCACTGATAAGCAGAGAAGGCCTCTTTAATAATTAGACTAACTGTGTAAATGAAATGGGCTATCTCACAGAGTAAACATTCCTCACTAGAAATGCTCAAGCTGAAGCTGGATCCATCTAAGAGGCCTGAAAATAAGGTTTTAATTTTGGACTAGAGAGGGCCTCTAATGTCCCTTCCAATTTTAAGATAATTCTTTTAATCACTTCTTCTGGTTAAATTTTATTCTTTATTCAAGAAATCTGTTTCAGTCCATATTTTTATTCACTGAGAAAACTAAAAAAAATAGGTTTCATCATATAAATAGTAAGCATGGAAAGCAAAATTTAAAAATTTGCCTAACTTTCAACCTGTTTGCTATTTATTTCAAAAAGGTCTAAGTGACAGTATAGTAGAGAGAAGATGATCTTTAGTGTCATGAAACTTGGTTTAGTATCCCAGCTCTGTCGCTTTACTAATGTGACTTTGGCCAAGTCTTTTAGCTTCTCTCAGCCTCAGTTTTATTACCTTTAAAATCTTCATAAGATTATGAGAACTAGATGAGAAAACTATGTGAATTTACTTTTTGTAAAATGGTAAAGTGCTCTACAGTAGATTGAGCAGGTTAGTTTTAGTTTCTCAGTGTTGAATCTGTATGGGATTTTATATAGTTCATTTATATGATTCAGTTGTAATTGAAATAATTCATCAATGACTATATATTAAGATAAGACCTCATTAAAATTGCATATTTACCGGTCACCTAATCCCATTGTTAACCCAAATCACTAGAACAGGAATTTCTATTGAAATTTTTTAACCTTTTATTTTAGAAATTTTCAAATAAAAGCAGAATAATATAATGAACCTCAGTATACCTGTCACCCAGCTTCAACCATTATCAATATTTTGCCATTTTTTTTCTACCTATCCTTTGCTGTTGTCTTTATCTCCTGGAGATGTCAACTATAAATAATCCTATTATATGTCTGACAGATAAGGACTTTTAAAAAGATATACCATAATACGATTTTACCTAGCAAAATCAACAATAATGTCTTAATATCCTGTCATATTCAGTTGATGTTCCATTTTCCCTGATTGAACATGAATTTTAAAGGGCATATTTCTAAATTTAGAATCATTTTATTGGCTTTAGAGATCTGGAGTAGATTATAAATTCACAGTTAAAATAACTTAGTTATTTCTCAGAGGGCCAGAAACAAAATAGAAATATAAAGTTGTTCTTTTTTTATCATGATTTCTTATAAATTCACCCCAGTTTTTGGCATTCTCTTTAACCTTCTGAATTTAACACAGACAAAAGAACCCAAACCATCGATTATTGTAAGATTTTAGGTCTGTGGATCAAAAAGCAGAGCAGTAAATTTGTGTGTGCCTCCACCTACTGGCTAGGTAAGAGATTGCTTACCTACCTTCATGTAGATGGAGCTACTCCAGAATTAGTTCCATTTGTCTGGCAATAGAATAGAATTACCCCTGGTACATAGGTTATGCATAATCTCGGTCCTTTCCACAGTTTTCTGACATGACACCAATACATAGTGGACAAGGAACAGGGAAACAAATGAAATAAAGTCGGTTGACTTTGCAAATTTACAGGCTGCTCGAAAACAGTTCTTTTAATTTCAATGGAAAAAAAGGCTAGAACAAACAATATATTTAGATTATCAGTGAGTTTCTTAATATGGTATCCATATCTGTCTTTGCCACAGACTATCTATAACCAGCTCTCCCTTGTTTTTCCTAAACTGAAGTCATGTAATTATATGGCCTAATCATGTTGCATATTATGTTAGAAAATCCTTAGAATGAGTTGATACCAATTTAATTACAAATGGTTTATAAGTTTAAAGCATATTCAAGTACAGAGACTCTCAGAACCAGAATTTTAGGGTTGGAAAAGGTTAGAGAAATTATATTTCAAAACTTAGCATTGGAAAATCCTGGGTAGAGCTTATACAACAAGTATGCACCTAATCCCTACCCCTAGATATTCAGTTTCAACAAATCTGGGTCCCTAAGTGAGAGATCAAGAGAGATGATTGACTTTTAAAGTAGGAAAAATGCTATTTAGAGACTATGTTGTCATTTTCCCCAACACACATAGTAGGTTGTTGAAAATCTGCATACGTTTGCGCTATATCCGTTGCTTCAGGATTACACTTAAATTTGGACTTGCCTGTAGCAATTGGCTGAAATATATTTTAAAATGTAGGTTCAATTTTGAAGACAGGGCTTTGTTGCATTCCCCCCCTCATCCAAAATTAAACATTTATTTCTAAGTAACACATCCGAACTTGTCTTTAGTAGTGTCTGAAACTTGAATTAAGCTGTAGATCCTAAATTGACTGGCCAAAGAATTTGAATTACCCTATTATAGAATGATTACATATACCACAGGAATACTTTTACAGTAATTAAATATGGATTTAAAACACATCTGACCTGAAAACAGTAGTTTGTATTTTAAAATAATATTAGCAGTTTGTATTTTTGAGCTCACAATGGAGATAAATAGACTGAAGGTGCTTTTATTATTTTAATTTAATGTAATTTTTCTTTTTGGTCTGGTGTTTATGCTTGGGGAAGGGAGTATTTGTGGAATTCATTTATGCTGAT